AAGATAACAGATTATCATCATGTTGGACTGTAGCATATGGAAATTTATTTTTAAACTATTGAGCTGAGGTGGGGCTGCAACATAATTCCTCAATTTACATGTACCATGGTTATGCAAAACTCACCAAACTTATATATAACGCTATTTTGGTATGTCTTACCTGTGAGCAAAATGATATTTCTTTAAACCTCTTTGTCAACATAAAACTCTTCTTATCCAAACTAATTAAACTAATGTCAATTTTACTGATGTGGAAAAGGATTGTCCGGTTCTTTTCGCTTTCAGTACAGTGAATTCCACGCCGACAACTTTTTGTTTCACTGTTACTCTCTTTGTTTTCCTTTTCAACAATCTTGTCAGTTTCATTATTGTCATCGTTTCCTTCAGGCTCAGTGTCAACACTATTAGTCCTATCACGAGAGTCGTCAGCACAACAATTCTCTGACTCGCTTATTTCTCTCTCAACTTTCTCGAGCTCTTTTCGTTTTTTCTTCTCTTGTTCATATTCTCGGAACTTTTGGATAGTGTCATCAATGAGACTCGGTGGTGCTTTTTTGTGTGACACAACAGCCTTCCCACAATACATCACTTCATAGTTGCTTGAAGTCCCATCAATAAGGACCTCGGTTACGGGTAGTTTCCCATGATCCTTTGCATGCTGGTCCAGTTTCAATAACTCCCTAGTTGCTTCTTTGATAGCATGTGCGAATTTGTGGACCTGCAGAAAAAACAAAATGGTTTCAGATTAGAATAACACAAGACTGACTGACTGACTGATGTAGCAATCAAATACCAGATCAACATACACAATCACCCGTATACTTTCCATCCCAGATTTCAGACATACACTGTAATATGGCATAAAATACTAGTATGTGTGTTTGTTTCAAACTTGGAAGGTAATAGTAAAAACATGCCTACTTTGAAAAATTTACCACCTAAGTAGATTGGATTTATTTGAAAATTTTGACAAATTGTGCTGGTTTAGTTCTCTAAACTTTCGTCCACCTCAGATGTTTTAACTCTCTTGGGCTAATGATTCAGCTCTAGTTTAGGTTTTAATTAATGAAAACAATATGTGGTATTAGGAATAATCAAAACATGAAACAATCATCTACTATCAAAGACGTACAAGGTTTTAATAGCATTGCTTAATATTCTGTTACAGTTTGATATATATCTAAAAGAATGTTATTTCTTGAGTTGCTATAAATTTTATGTAAAATTCATGTTAGTTTTATCATGAAATGCTTTTGAACACCCAATCGACACTGTACAAATTCTGAGAGCCACCATGTTTTGAGGACCATTTCATTTACTATGGTGTTCATTAAACTGATACATGCAGAACAAAAATTCCATTAACTAATCAGAATACCAGGTAGTACCATCAGTTTCCGACATCTTTTGAATTCGTGATCGCAAAGAACCGTTTCGAAAGTAAATTTCATTATTATCAAAGTTGCAGTGATATTGGTGTTGATTTCACTGCGTGATATTTTTTAAAGAGGTCATCAGCCTTTTTTTAAAAAGTAAAATGTACAGAACACAATTTAACAGCTTTTATGATGACAACAGAGGAAATGTATTTTACCTATTCATTCAATAAATCTGTCTTTTCTATGATGCTAACTCACTCATATTCGCAATCTGTTTTGTTTGGCCATGAAACATCACAAATGATTATATTTTGACAGAAATTTGGTTTTTTGACAACATACGGTACTGATTTTTACTCAACCACTTTTTTTAAACTAATTATTTAATTATAAATACTATTTTTTCTAACAGAATCGCACATAAACCAAAAATTGCATTCACTGTATGCTGGATCAATGAAATATGTATGATATTGACAATAGACCTCTGTCATCTACATAAGTGTATGTGCTTATTATTGAGCAAATATAGCTTTTGATTATCTTTTTTTTTCTTTTTATTTACTGTACTGATTTCAATGGGAAATTGAAGTACACTTACAAAAGTGACCTCAAAATATTACCAGTTATTATTCAAGAGCCAGCTGTTATTTTTGCCACAGAAGAGTTAAAATACAAATAAAAAGAATTGTTGCATGTTTTTTGTTTTTTTATATAACATATATAACATCTAACAGCAATTATAAATTATGCTATCGTCTCATCAATTTACAAGAAAACAGTTAAAGATTGATTGTCACTTCAGTAAAAAAATGTGGTTCTGGGGGGTCATAGGTCAGAGGCAGTGTATCAATAGTCTGTGATCAACAACCTTCATCAACCACGCTGGATGCATTTAAGTTAACACCATAGTGATTTAACTGAATTAACTAAAATCAAAACCCTTACATCAGACTCCACAAAGCGTTTTATAAGTGATTGAAGGTGATTTGGTCACTTGCCATATAACGTCAGTGCATGGTTGGGTTTAAAGTAGAATCGCTATTATAGTTTTCATGTGAAAACATGTTCTTTCGCTCATAAATTATCATGTGTCAGTAATCCCCTACTTATTTTTTAAAAGACGTTTAATTTTTTTTCCCCATAGAGTACCATGTATTAAATTCAAAATAAACTCCAGCATTAACATAAAGTAATATTACATTTATCTAAAAAACTTGTCTGTAATTTGGGTCTGTGATCGAAATTTTTTTTGTACATGCCTCTCAGATTATAGGCAGAAAATTTAAAGTGCAAAAAACTTTATTGAAAATGAAATGAAAAATAACATTTACTAGTCTGTAGTCTTAGACATAGAGTCTAATTTTTGTTGATTATTTATAGTTGGTTTATTTACAGGTAATTTTCAATGAAAATTGGACAGGTTTGTAAAGATTTTGCCTGTTGAAATTTCATACGTAAAATTTCTAAATGTGGAGTGCCTATCTATAATGAAAGGTAGACTGGCGGCTGGCTGAAAGCCTGCTTGTCTCTTTACAGTAATATATATTCATGAAGTATCAACAATTATACCGCTGGATTAATCCATGAAATTTGATATGTGTGCTACCATATATTGAAACTGTTTTTGTGTTGTCCTCACATTTCACAAATTTTAATGGAAAGCATGGTAGCCACAAGAATATGAACAAAATAATAATAAATTGTGTGAACATTTGCATCCACTTTACTCATTTCCCGATGTACATGTTCAAATGTAGTACTACATTTATAGTGGGTAATAAAACCTGCCAACTCTGTACTGCATATTAAATTGTACCACAGCTGTCTTGAATCGACCAATACACAATCTAGAAATTATTGAAATTGAGCCACCAATCCTGCCTTGAGATGGCCATTTACCAGTGCCAGTGATGTTGTGCTACATGTACATACAGTATTAAACAAGTCTTAATGTTAGATAAATTATATTCACTCAACACAACTAGTTTAATTTATTCAGATTATATACATGTACTTATAATATTTATTATTAAATATTATGAGGTTATTACGATACCAACAAGTATGCATGAAAAAAAATGACAGCGAGAGTATCAACTGACGTGCAGCAGAGGTCGATGCAACGGCGTACTGTCTGAGTGCATACTTTAAGGTATCCTCGTGATAACCTTATTATTATACATCTTTTCTTACCAATGGGAATGCGGAAATTAAAAAAGTTTAAAACAGAATCAGCAAACTTATTTGTGTGGAGTCCGATCAAACTCTGGGGCTGCAATATTTGTTTTTATTATTAGAGGACGCTTACATGTGTAATCATTCCATATTTGGAATTCACATTTCCTAATATGGTGGGATGAAATACCCGGTAAATACTGCAAAATTACGGCATGCTGTAACTTATGGCGTTACAGTGACAGATGTATAATATTTATTATTAAATATTATATAACATTATATAACACTAAATGAAATAAATAGAGATTTAAAGTATGAATCTGTCAATAATACATCACTGTCAATAAAACCAAATGCTGCTAAATTCATAGAAAAACACACAGACATCTATAAAAAGCCCTAGACCGTGACAGTTTGGGAGCAGGTGACCAGATTTAGAAATTTAGAATAATGTCACGTAATATGTGACTAGTGTTAGTCATAGCAAAGAAACAGCTATTTTTATTTTTTTTATCATTTGTTGTCAATGATTATATTTTCTGATGGCACCATGTAGGATAGTGCCATGTGCTTACGTATTCTCATACTACAAGTACAGACCACCGATAATTACACTTTGATCATTACAGTACATGCATATTTATGTGATAATTCAGAATGAATGATAGAAGAATCACGTAATTCCACTAACATTACCAATCTATTGCCAAAGCTAATATTTGCTAAAACTAATATAACATTCATAAGTTTATAAATGTATTTTTAGAATGAGTTAGCGATATGAATGTATTAAGTTTTTAATTAATTTTCCTGTTACAACTGGCGACATCATCTATGTAAATGAGAGTGAAGTATACTATAAACCTGTGATGACCTTTAAATATCACTATAAGAACACTGTTATCAGGAAGAAAGAAATAATACTCATAATGAAAGAAATGGCCATAATTATAGCCACTACTAGTTTTATGTTGTTACACAAGTTAAAAAAAATAAAAA